ACTGCTATGAGCCCCTTCCCATACACAGAGCAATTTTCAAAAGAAAACACGCTGAGTGTACTCTTCTACGTTTGGGAGGGTGTCCGAGGGGGTGATGGGGTTGCGTGCAGCAAACGCAGAAATTAATAGTTAATGGAATGTAGGTAAGTGTGTTGTAAGTATTTGTAGGAGACGGGTGGAAAGCAGCAGACAGGTGGAAGGTAAAAGGGAGAAATGGCGCCCAGAGATGGTGTAGGAGGAGTGTGCGTATGTGTGTGTGAGGTTAAGGCACCACCTCTGCGGCCACATGTTCCCCTGCTGACTGAGGATCGAATCCTGCCAGAACGCACTGTGTGTCCCTCTCAGCTTCCCTACTGTCTCAATAAAACGGGAGCAAATTGGAGAGAGAAAGCGAGCGGGAAAGATGCCATCCCTATGGGGTCTCCACCTGCTGCCGCTGGTATTGTCTGATACTTTCATACTCGCCTTCAGTAATGTCTCACTCTCGCGCTGTGTGTGTGTGTGTCTTGATGCATTTAAGGACAGATTTCTTTTTTTATATTCTCCTTGTGTATGTGTGTGTGTGTGTGTGTGTGTGTGAGGAGGCTGTGATTATGCTGAAGTGGCTGGAGCCAAGCAGTGGCGCTGTGTGTCTAATTACAGTGGAGCAGAGCCCATTGATCAGCCATTGCAGTCCAATCTGTTTACTACAGATGTCTAACCTGCACACTTGCGCATCCATCATATTCATATTTCACATCAACAATGCTGCTATATATATCAGGCAAACATGCTAATATGCCACATACAAATTTGTCCATGCTTGTACGAACAGCGAGCGTATCATCATGTATAATACTTTGATTTATTAAAGGCTTAAGAGTAGTAATGATGGTGAGAAAAGGGAGGAGGAGGAGGATGCCATTTCTTTAGTGTCTGAAATTATTCACAGTAAGAAAAAAGTAGGACACTAAAGAATCAGAAAGACTACAACGAGAAGGCATATTCTTACTAAGATTACATCATCATGTATTTATTGTATTTCTCTTTCTTGAAGATACTCTAAAAATGCCAAAGTAAGTCCCACCTGGTAGTTCCAGGGATAAATATTGACAGGCTAGCTTATATCCCGGATTTCTTTCTCTCCTAAACCGATAAAAGTTAATATTTAAGATGTTTTCTTTTTCCCAATAAATGGAGCTGCTTACTTCATTCTAATGTATATGAACAGCTCATCATTTGTGTCTTCCTTTATAAAGAAACTCTGCTGAGAATTACTCTTTCAGTCACGTCAGAGTTTGAACATCAAGGCTCCAGCGATAAAGCTTAAGTGCTCAAACATTTCCAGGTGTGATGAAATCTCTATTTATTCTATACTCGACAACTTGTACTGGATCATCACGGCCATCGGGGAGAAGCGTACAGCCCATCAGAGACATGCCAGACAGTATGGATTAAACGTGTGTGCAAGAGGATTCGTTTCCCAGCAGGACAATGAGCCTAACATGTATCTAAGCTCCACCAGGCTTTTTTGAAGTCCGGGGAGGAGGAGTAGAGCAGTGCTGACATGTGTGACATGTCTGCTCCTATTCGAAACACAGAACCTCTGGAATGGTCGTGAAGAGTGCTGAGTTAATCATTTTTTTTCTATAAAAGCTAAAAATACTAAATAACATTCAGCTTCATTTAAAATAGTTTTTTCAAGCTGCATTTTTAAATACACTTCTCAATATACATGTGTTTATTAATGTAGCTCCTCGTTACACATGGGCATGGACTGCGTCTCATACAAGAGTATTTTTGTTATGGATTTTGCTGCTTTTAGTACAACTTCTTCTATTTTTATCAATATAGATTTATTACTGTCTTTGTGTTAATAATAATAATAATAATAATAATAATAATAAATATATATTACAACACTCAGTTCTCCATTTACCAGCTGGAAGCTGTAAATGGTTGTAAATGGTTTACTTCCTCCTACTGTCTAACTTTATTCTTCTGTGGTTTGTCCAGACACACACACACACACACACACACACACACACACACACACACACACAACCTCACACCAAAAATAGGACCCCTGTAAAAATCCCATCCAGCCAAATACAACAGCTTTAATGTTTTAAACGCTTTCAAAAATGTTTTCTCATTTATTTGTATTGCGATTTATCAAATCCCATCATATCTCAAAGAGTTCCTAATGGTTAAATGTTCTCTCCAATGCCTAAAAGGTAAGAAACACACATCCAAACGTTTTCGCCGTGAGTGCACCTGTGCGTGGGGAAGATGCAGAGTCAGCAGGACGAGTGTTTCTCTCTTAATGTGCCTCCACAGCAAGCTGACACAGTCCCGGACTCTCTCCACATCTTCTCCACCGGATAGTCACGTTCTGCCACCTCATCGACCGCTTGCTTTGCTCCGTTTCTGTCGGTAGGTGTCGCTCTCGTCGTGGCCCGGCTGCACGGGGCGCCATAGTGCGCTGCCTTTGCTACAGGCGCTGGATTTAGTAATCGATATCGATCGATCGGTGAGGAAGGGGGCCCTGATTACTGAACCAAGCTCGGCGTAGAAAAGAAAAAAAATCGATCATTGCAGCTTTTAGAGCTACAGTAGGCACCGAGCAGAGAGACGGACATAAACTCATGCACAAAGAGCAGCCGGACAGGAGCAGAAATCCTGATTTGGCGCTGGGTGTTTTCCGAGGTGCGCGTGATGCTGATAAAAAGAGAAATGAGATTTCTATTTCTCGCTTTGGAGCTGAGAGCAGGAGCTGACCTACTTTGGAAGAATCCCTCGAGCTCCTCGCTAACATAGAAAGATTGATTCTCACAGCCACGTTTGTCCCGCGTGCCGCTATTTTACACTCGTACACCACATACAGGCTACACAGGTGTAATATCATTGTCCATGAATATGCGCACGCAGTAGAAGTCCAGTTAATCCTCATGAATGTCAACGAATGTCCCCGCAGACTGGCCCGTGCCTCCAGACATCTGGAATTCTTTAATAATGCCTTTATGCGCGGATGAAAACGGTATAAGTTAGACCCATTTCTTTTCCACTGATGACATTAATATTCTTTGCTTCACGACAAACCAAGCGAGGTTAAGAGAAAGGCCCTGGGTGTCCAATATCGATCGATAGATTCGTGAATAATTCGTGTGTGAAATTCACTTCGTCCAATTAATTATGCCTCGGAGGGGGGAGTGGGCCTGGAGAGGAGATTCATGAAGGGGGCTGGAGACGTGAGAGCGCACTGGGCAGGAAGCGGAGTGATGATCCAGCTTTCTGTGCTGCTGAAACCCGAGCAGGAAAAGGAGTAAATTATCATCACCCGCTTCAGCTGTGATTTCTGCGCCCGGCTGAATACTCACAGCTGTCTTCACGAGGCCTCCTCGATCCCTGCAGATGTGAGCTCATCTGGAGCATTAATCATTTATCGATCATCGCTGCCCTTCCTGCTCATAATGAGAAAGTCAAACCGCCTAATATTGTGCCTGTATGAAACCACGATTACACATCTGCATAAAGAAACAGCCCTGCTTGTTTTCTAAACTTCTCTGGTTGACAATATTTGTGATCCCTGGAAAGGAGACGAGGTCAACAGCGTATGCTGATTTAATTAATTTACCAATAAACATGTTTACGGGTTACGGTTGGGTGCCTTTATATGTATGCACACACACGCACATACAAACACACACACACAGTGCCTCCCATTTATTGTTGGAATGCAGTGCTGTCCTCACTAATAATCTATGCAGGCTGCTTGTAGCTGCACTCTTCTTCACATGGAGCATGCGTGATTGGGCAGTTTGGCGTTAAAGCTTCGGCCTGTTTATTAAGTGACGTCTCTGCTGTTTTGCATGGGCTATTGCTCTAAAGATTGATAGCAGTGTGAATATATATCCACACGGCCCTCTCTGCAGACTGTGGCATTCGGTTGCAGGGAAGTGCCAAGCTCTCACTCTCTCTCTCTCTCTTTCTCTCTCGCCAGGCCAAAACACTTCCTGCTCAATACTCCTTAATGTAATGAGTGAGAATTGGTGTTAATATACTGATAAAGCGGCACAATTTGTTTGTTTGCCTTCTCCTGCGACTCAGCTGCGAGGCATTTCTGTTCCAGCCCTTCAATAACA